CTCTGTCATATGACCAAATTAAAGTAAAATAAAAAATCTGTATTCAAGTTAAAACATTTTGGGCACATAGATAGATGTGAATTCAGGATGCTGCTCACACTTAAAAACTAGTAACTTTTCTTGCTAAATGTCGGCCTTATAGCATTTCTGCCAAAGATATTAAATGTATGCCATAAAACATACATAACCAAGTTAATGCTGCTATAGGAACCTTATCTTTGGAATTTCCTGACATTTGAGGGTTTCTCATTTTCCATTTTAGGATTGAAGGCATAAGTCCTTGTATTTAATTTCCTGAGGCTTTAGAAAGAGAGAAGAAAGGGAAGAAAGAAGAGAAGGAGGAAAGGAGGAAGACAAGAGAAAAGAAGAAAGAGAAAAAAGGGAAAGGAAGACTAAGAAGAGAAAAAGAAACGAAGAAGACACATTTTCTTAAACTGAGGATCTGAATCCACTGGTTTGGCTCTTGCTCAGGTGGACTAATCGGCCTATGAAAATAAGCTGAATACATTCTCCAAAGCGCACAGCCTGGCCGTGTAATTCTAAACCCTCAGAACTTCAAAATCCTTAATCATTTCTTTCTTCAGCCTTGGCTTGGCTTTCTTGCCTCAGAGAGGGCAGTAAGTCTGCCAAATTCAGAGTTGAGCCTTTTCTTTCTTTTTTTTTTCTTAGGCGATAGGACCACAATAAAGAACCTGCTTTATTTTTTAAGAGCAGAAAGGGAACATCTTGCCCTAATCACCCCCATTGTTCTATTTTAAACAGAACGAAAAATCCAAAGCCAAAATTCTTAAAACACAGCTGATGCAACCATATTCAAACTCGCCAAGAAAAATTTCATCTTTGGACTGAAATTAAGTAACTTTAGCCGGTTTTAAAGAAAATGCTGGAAGACTAAAAAGAGCAGATGGTAGCTAAGAGAGAAAAGATAATGGGAATAACTGTTCACCACGTTTATCTATCTGCCCAATGATGACACAGATGAAAGACTCCCATTTCCCAGAACCAACCTGCCCGTGGAAGAGGGGGCCTCTTTGGAGGAACAGCCCAGAACGGGCTTAGAAGGGCTGCTTTTGGGGAGCAATGGGGACAGGAGCAGAAAAGTCATGAGAGTATTTAGGGCCCTGGGGTTGGCACTGGGGCCCTGGGGTTGGGAAAGGATTTAGAATTGGAGATCGATACAAACTTTCTCAGAACATAAAGAAGGAAGCCTCTGAATTCTTCTGTAGCTCTCACATAACACTGATGTCAAAGCCTGGCAAAGAGTGCAATAAAAGCCAAGGAGAGACTAGACTCATCTACAGAATACTGATACAAAAATCTTACACAAAATATTAGCAAATAGAATTCAACAGTACATTAAAAGAACAATAAACCATGACCAAATGAGAGTTCATCCCAAAATGTAAGGATGGGTTAACATTGGAACATAAATTCACTATTAATAGATCAAAGGAGAAGGGCCATATGATCATATAAAGTGGCTGAGAAGTAATTTGACAAAATCTAACATCTAATCCTAATTTTTTAAACTCTTAGTAAAAAAGGGAACATAAATGAACACTACCTTGATACCATAAAAACACCCCTCAAACAAGAGTGCTTGAGAGGGGCACACAAGAAGCAGTACCATTAAAGTCAGGGGGGAGATAAAGCTGCCCACTGCTATCAGCACTATTTTTTTTTTTTTGAGGAAGATTAGCCCTGAGCTAACATCTGCTGGTAATCCTCCTCTTTTTGCTGAGGAAGACCGGCTCTGAGCTAACATCGGTGCCCATCTTCCTCTACTTTATTTGTGGGATGCCTGCCACAGCATGGCTTGCCAAGCAGTGCCATGTCCGCACCCGGGATACGAACCGGTGAACCCCAGGCCGCCGAAGCAGAACGTGTAAACTTAAGTGCTTTGTCACCGGGCCGGTCCCTCAGCACTATTATTTAACACTGCTCGGAGAGTAGTAGCCAGTGCAATTCAGTTAGAGAAAGAATTATGAGGTATAAATTAAAAAGAAAAGGTAAAATGAGAATTCTTTGTAGACAATATGATTATATATATAGAAAGTCCAAGAGAATCCACTGACAGACTATTAGAAACAATAAGAAATTTCTTTAAGGGGTCTTCTAAAAGAATAATATACAAAAATAAATAGTTTTCTTACATACAAAGACCATATGGTGAGAAAAAAGATAAACTAACAATGGCAACAAAAAGATAAAATACTTAGGAATAAACTTAGCAAACACATAGAATCCCAATTAAAAACTAACATAATTTGTATGTGTGAAATTTGATAGTGATATACAGAAGATTTAGAGAAATACATGCAAGAATAGTCAAGACATTCTTGAAAAATGAGAATAAAGAAATAAACAAGAGGTTTATAATCATTAAAAAGGAGACCAAACGATCATTTTCGTGTATGTGTTTGACATGATAGTATATGTAGGATGTCCAAAAGAATCACCTGACAGATTATTAGCAACAACAAGAAATTTCTGTAAGCTCTACTAGACATTAAAACATATTATGAGGTTAAAATAATTAAAGCAGTTTGGTACTGGAAAAGAAATAGATAACCTAATTAATTAAACAGAATAGAGCCAGAAAAAAATAACAGCTAACATTCATTGAGCATTGCCTATATGCCAAGCCCTGTTTTAACTTATGTTTACACATATTTACTCATCCAGTCTTCACAACAAAGCTATGAAATGTTTAATATAATTATCACCATTTTACAGATAAGTAAAATGAGGCCAAGACAAATTGAGTAGCTTATCTAATGTCATACAGGCAGTAAGTAACAGAGCTAGTAAGTACTCTGGCTCTAGAGTCTTCTCTAATGCTGTATACTGCTCACCACAGCATTATTTGTAAACTGGAAACAACCTAAGTGTCTATAAGTAGGGGAATGGTTAAATAACATACGGTTTATCCACAGGATGTAAAAAATGTGGCAGTTAAAAAAGGAAGGTGAAAAAAAAAGGAAGGTGGTAAAATTGAAAGATCTCAATCATATCCTAAGCAAAAAACAGTATATATATATTTCATTTTTTTCCAATCCTCTTTTTTTTTTTTTCTTCTTCTTCTCCTGAAAGCCCCCCAGTAAACAGTTGTATATTCCAGTTGTAGGTCCTGGCTGGGCTATGTGGGACGCCGCTTCAGCATGGCCTGACGAGTGGTGCCACGTCTGCACCCAGGATCCAAACCAGCGAAACCCTGCGCTGCCGAAGCAGAGTGCAAGAACTCAACCACTCTGCCATGGGGCCGGCCCCATGATTTCATTTTTAAAAGGACATAATATATAATTATAATTATAATTATAATATTTATACAATTTATATAATTCTGAAATACACAAACTTTTTTTTCCTGGAAGAGAACATAACAAATTGTGTTTTTTGCAGCCAAAAGAATCCTACCTGATAAACCATGTTGAGCAGGCGAGTTACATGATCAAATCTGTATTTCTAGAAGACTCCTCAAGCTGCTGCAGAGGAATATACTGGGGGTGGGGATTGGAACAAGATGACCAAGGTGGTAGCAGTGGAGATGTAGTCAGATTCAAGATAACATTTAAAACTACAACCGAAGGACTTGCTGACGAATTAGATTGGGGTATGCGAAAAGAGAAGAATCAGAGATGACTCCTAGGTTTTCGGCCGAAGCAAAATGAAGGGTGATGCCATTTAACAAGATGGCAATTATTCTGGGAGGAGACAGTTAGTGAGACAGTTAGTGGTGGCCTGGATTGAGAATTTAGGTTTGGACATGTTACGTCCAAACTATTAGATAACCAAAGAGAGACCCAAGCAGGAGATGACTATACAAACCTGAAGCTGGGGGAGGGAGTCAGGGCTAGAGACATACATTTGGGAAGCATAAGCATGTAACTGACATTTAAAGCCACGGGACTGGATGAGGTCATTTGGGGAGTGTATATAGATGGAAGAGAGAAGTTCTGCTCTCATCCTTGGATACGGTGTGGATGGGTTAGCGGGGAGTGTTATTCTGACATGGAGAGGGAGAGGAAAACAAACTGGTGAAGCAGAACTACCAGGAAAGTCATGAGAAGTCCAGCGAACACAGTCTGTCAAAGTGGAGCGAGTCAAGTTGTTTCTCAACTGCCAGGAGGCCAATCAAGAAAAGAACAGAGAACTGGCAATGGGATTTAGCAAGACGGAGATCAGAGGTGGCCTTGATCAAGAGTACTTTCAGGATAAGTGGCCAAAGCCCCACTGCAGTGGGTCGCGGCAAAAATCAGAGGTAAAGAAGTGATGACAGTAAGTAGAGACAACTGCTTTGAGGAGCGTTGCTCTAAGGCTGGTTTCCAGATTAGTGGGTACCAAACCAATCAGCACACTACAGAAGTGAACTAGAAATTAGATTTCAAACCAGAAAATAAATTGTTTCCAAAGCACAGATTTGATTTTCAAGCATTCACAGGCTTTATTATCTAACGTATTATTTTAATACTATAAAATATTCAGAGTGTGTACATCTATATATAAATGAGGAAACGGTGGCTTCGAGGGGTTAAGTAACTTGTTCAGGGTCACAGTGATAGACTGTGACAGGGCCAGGGTAGACCCACGCATGTTTCTAGAACCCATACCCAGAAAAACACGCAAAGAAGAGCCAGGAAAGATTCAAGGTGCCACGCACCGTAGGGGATGGTAACAGCAGAATTAGCATCAATTAGCACCAGTTAGTAGACTGCCAGTGTTAACACAAATTTTCGTGTAACTCTTGGTTACTAGCTGAATTACAAGTACTTATCACATCCAAAGGGTAATTTTTAAGAGCAAATACTCTTTTTTGAGGACTGAGAACACAAAACACATGCATCAGTTACCATGTTTCCAGGTTTAATCAATAAACTCTCTTAAACTATGAACAGTCTCAACTAACCACAAGAACCATCAGTTTAAGAAAACAAATAGGTTGAGAACAGACAGTTGTGATGCGGCGTGAACTACTCAAGCAGACAGTCACCGTCACCTACCTGTGGTCAGCACTGGGTTTCGGTCTCCCGTTCCACAGTCTTCTGTTCACGGTGGAAGGTGGGGGAGAGGAGGGCAGAGGCGGGGGAGGTAGAGAGGGTAGAGGAGGCAGGTTCCTTTTATCTTTTCTGAAGCTGCTGCCTGGGTTCCCATTCTTGTCCCCTTCTCCATCATGTTTGAACGTTCTCCGGGGTTTGGGCAGGGGGTTGATGAAGGGTTTTGTGGTGGAGTCCTCCGAGCCCTTGTACACACTCTCCAGGCTCTGGTTGCAGGGCCTCCCACATGAGCCTTTCCTTTCCTCCCCAGCCTCAGGGGCAGGCTCCTTGGCTTCCAGGTCGAAGCGGTGTGGCCTGAATTCTGAGCCACTCCTGCCTCCACGGTTCTCAGGAAGGGTGGGCCCCTCCTCAGCCTTGTCCGGTAGGCAGTGTGGGGAATAACAAGTCCCTGGTAACTGGGGATCCAGCCCTGCCGACCCATCCTTCAGAGCCTGCTCAAGTTTCTTGACCTGCTTCAGCACAGAGAGGCTATCATTCTGAAAGCGCTGTTGGCCAAGCCTCCGCTCTCGGCCTTTGCCCAAGCTGGGAGCTGGCTCCCTGGCTGGCTGGCTTAGGTCTTGCCTCCGCTCTGCATCCTGTCCCTCGACTCTCACTACTCCTTTATTCCTCTCATCCTCTTTGCTCTCTGTTTCCAGCCTCGTTCCATTCTGAGCCTCTGTGACCAGAGTCCTCACACCATCACTACTTCTCCTCTCCATCACACAGGACGTCAGGTAATCCTCTTGCTCATCTGCTTTCCTGCCAGCTGCAGTAGTGGGCAACTCCTTTTTCCCTTCCCATTCTGATATCTTGTCCTTTATGCTGAGGGACTTGTGCCGGGCCCCGCCTCGGCCAGGAGGGCAGGGGTTCTGAACGCCCGTGAGCTGCCTCTTGCCAGCCCTGCTGGCTTCTTTAGCACTGACATCTGAAGCTGGGTCGCTGATGGTCATATCTGAGCTGAACATGTTCTGCTGAATACAGTCCACTCTTGACTCTAGCATCAGGTTATTGAGGCTTTCCAGCGGGCTTCTTCCGAAGGCTGAAGCCTGATTAGTCTCTAGGAAAGGGATGGAGGACCTAAGTGGCTGCCTTCGAGGGTCTTCCCCAGCCTTTGGGCCTTCCACCTTGACCCTGAACAACAAAGACAAACACTGGGTGAGGGATTCTTGGTTACTGCTCCTGGCTGGTCATAGAGATTTACTAAAACTTAGATATAATAATAATTGCAAACCACAAACATTGAAAATACCATTTAAAAAATAATTTGGTTTTCTTGGGGAGATAGCACGATGGAACGAAAGGAGCTACTGGATTTTAGAGCCCAAGAGACTTGGGTTTAAATCCTAATTAGACCACTGACCACCTGTGTGACCTTGGGCAAGTTGTTTAACCTCTCTAAACCTCAGTTTCCTCTTCTGTGAAAAGGGAATAATAATAATACACATCTAACAGGGTGGTTATAAACATTTAATGAGCCAACCCAAGTAAAGCATCTAGTATGTCATGGTATACAATAAATGGTGGTTATCGTTATTATTAGCTCTCTTCCCTGATGAAAATAGGAGAAATTTCATGAGATAAAAGCTTACGTAGTCTAAGTTTCCTCTGCTTCTGTTATCAACAGATGGTCCTTTGGAATGACTATTTAAAAATTAAAACAATGCCATAAGTCATGAAGTTTTTGCTAATTCTGGGCTTGATAAGTTGTCCTGATTTGAGTGGGAAAAGCCACATGATTGGCTGCATTTGAACTGAAAATTCTCTAGAACGTGAACCCTGCTAGACTGGTCTCTCCAGGAGGACAGGGATTCTTTTGAATTTTGGCATGTTTTGACTACTGCTGCATCCCCAGCACCTACACTAAGACCTGGTGGAGTGGGTGGCCAGTAAACATGTGTGGCACGAATGAATGAGTGAATAAACAAGCAGGTTCAGATTTCAGGCATGGCCTACAACTGCACTGTCCAATGTAGTGGCCACTAGCCACATGTGGCTTTTTAAACTGAAATCAAATTAAATTAAAGCCTCAGTTCCTCAGTGGCACCAGTCCCATGTTGAGTACTCAGTAGCCCACTAATGGTCAGTTGCCGGCTAATGGTCACTTTATTGGATGGAGTAGAAAAACATTTCCATCACTGCAGAAAGTTCTGGCCTAGAATATACACGTGAGGATATATACCTCCAAATATGATTTTAGAAGATCAGTTAGTGCCATGAAGATGTTAAAAATTATTTTGAAAGAAAAATAGAAAAACATTTTAAGCTAGTCTAATGAGAATGGGAGTATCTGTGTTTTGAAACGCAAAACATTCTTCCACCAGCAAAGGTCATGACTGAGCACAGTGACCTCAGATGTCCCAAGATCAGCAAATGTGCACAGACCAACCTCATGGTGCACATTTCCTGAGTATATAGATCTGACTATACAGGAATTTACATGACATTAGCCCATAAATTCTGAACCTCCAGTTAAGGTTCACCTGAGGGATGAACCTCAGCAGTTTCATGCACGCTGTTAGAATTTAGCTCTCTCTTCCAAAGACTAACAGTTGTTTACGTAGACTTGCCCCTGGATGGGGACACGAGCATGTAAACTGTGTTGCTGTTCTTGGTTGCTCAGCGTAAATTAGAAACTTGTGAAATTGCAAACACATTTTCATATGTTAAATATGGCTATCAAAGCAGAATTCTTTACTTAAATAAATGATTAGCATTCATAACAGAGTGCTTCCAAAGAGAAATACATTTTTCAATTGTTCTGTCACCACTGAGGACATTAGCATGAATTCAGATTTTAGTCAGAATCAGAATCAGTTTGTGGATATTCTACTGAGAGTTCAAAGGCAGAAGTTAAAGCCATTGGTCTCACGGTGCTAGAAGAAAGATAAAGAGACAGGACAGACACAGGAAAACACAATTCAGGTTAGTTCATGCTTCGTGACAATTGATGATATAGTATAAAATCATTTATACCAAAAGTACTGTTAAACAATATTGACAGTAGATAAACATGGCTTTAGATTCAGAGGGACCTGGGTTTGAAGCTTGGCTCCCTTTTTTTCACCTTAAAATAAGAACCCTATCTCCCTTTTCTAGACTAGAAATTTATTGGTGCAGAGACTAAATTTATCTTGTTTGCTGTGCCCAGTACATAGTAGGCAGTCAATAAATATTTATTAAATGAATGAATGGATGAGTTAATATATGTAATGTAACCAGAGTACAGCACATATTATGTCTTGATATTAATAAATGGTAACTAGCGTTATTGTAATGATTACAGTTATTGACCAAGATCCCAATCATCTGGGGTGACTTCACAATCACTGATCCCCTATCTAAAAACTGAAAAAGAAAAAAGGATAGCTTGCTGGAAGACCACGCTGGATTTACAAAGCTCAAGCAAGAGAGGTAAGAATGATAAAACCAGGGACAGAGTGCCTTCTCCACATGGTTGTTGCATCCAAGAGTTTCTTGAGTTCCTGTTTCTGGGATTCTATGGCCCCAGCAGGGGCTCTGGACTGGGCGCAGAGCCGTGAACAGCTCAGCGATCGCCAACTCCTTTGCAGAATGAGAGAGAGAATCAGAGGAAAGGGCTCCATCTGGGGAGAAGACAGCCCTGCTAATAAAAGATGGGTAAAGCTGGCCATGTGGACAGATGCAGCTGCAAAGATTTAGGGCTCAATGATAATTAAAATATCTGTGCATCTTAGTAGTTAGAAAAACAAACCCTGGACTGGAAAGCATCAATGGGAATATGGCCTGAAGTCGCCCTGGGATCATCTTCTCAACACACTGGGCACGAGTCAGACTTTCCCTGGACCACTTTGGTCTCAAGTTCTTAACTGAGCACAGTGCGTGGAGATGATTTACAGGAGGTGTATCACAATGACTCAGAAAAGAATGCCTCTTTAGTTCAAGGAAGTGGGGTTAGTGAGGAGGGAAAGGCCAGAGAGAAAGGAAGGAGACTGAGAATCTGGGCCAACTTCTACACTCTCAGGGGAGAAAAGTTCTTACTTGTCAGCCAATTTGTAGCACAGGTTTTCAGGCTGGCTGTGGCTGCCCTTGGCCCGCCTGCACACTGTCATCATGTCAGCACCGAGAGGAGCTCCAAGTCGCCTGGGAGAACAGGGATGCACACTCAGTGAGCCATGACAGCAAATCTAGGGCCCACACCCCAAACTATTTATCCCTGAGAGGGTCCATCCAAGAGTAGGGGTGTGTGACAGGAATGCACCATTCGGAATCCCTGACCCACGAGTGAGGCAAGGGCACAAAATCCTGAGGTTCAGACTCCATGCCAACCTCTTCTTGTGTGTGTGTGTGTGTGTGTGTGTGTATCTTTATATTCTTTAGCTAAGGTCACCAAAAATTTTAAGAAAACATATACCCCTAGAAAGCAAAACATAAATCCCAGCACAGCCCAACATTTTTTCAGGCTCTCCAAGAACCTGTGATGAATAATCCCCGAAGAAGAGAAGAGTTGTTACTTTATTTGAAACAAGAAATAAACCATACACCAAAGCTGAAATATACACAGAGATACTCTACTCTTCCGCTGGCCTTAAGGTGGGCGTAAACCCCCACTGTCCTTGGGTTCAGGGCCCTGCACTGAGAACCTTTCCCAGTGGCTCCAAACCCAGGAGGAAGAGAGGCCTAACCCCTAGGTCATCTGTCTGGTCTCAGGAAAACTAGGGGATGGTCCCAGGAAACCCAGGAATCCCACTGAGCCTCTCAAACCTGAAAGATAACAAGGATCATGTGGACACCAAAGCAGGGGCCTTAGTGCGGAAGCAGCAGTTTTATAAAACTCCCGTGCCTGACATCCAAATGAACTAAAGTAACTGATTAAAATGTACTATTTCAATAGCAAGTCCCTACAGAACTCTATCTCTCAACATGAAAACAAATGGACATTGGTCAAGTGGACGTAGCTAAGAAGAACAGACCCACCAGAGAACGCCAACCGGACAGGCTGTGCAATTCTTCTGAAAAGCATAAACACCACATGACTGGTCCCTCCTGATGGAGAGGAGGTATCTCCTTGACTAGAGGTTCAAGAAGTACTGAGATACTGGAGACTCACAGTTCTTTTCTACTGACTTCCAGGGAATCCCTCTCCCAACTCCATATCATGTTTCCATGACTCCTACCCGCCTCCCAGGACGGTTTACCTGCCAGGTGACAGGGTGGCTGCCCAAGATCTGGCCTGGGCATCTCTTCCCCCAAGAAATCAAAGGGCTGGGCTTCAAGACTTGCATATGACTCTCAAGAACAAGCAGAGAGAGAAAGAGAAAAAAGGAGAGTGAACATGGGCAACAAATTAAAAAGAGGGAGTTGAAAATCGAGGAAGGGAACAGACAGCTCCAGGACTGTGTGTACTTGGGGAGGGGGATGGAGCTAGGGCCTGCCCACGCAGCTCAGTTGTCCTCTTACCCAGAGACACAGCACCCTACATTCTGGGGTATGTCAGTGCTGAAAGCAAGCCCAGTTGTCTAAATAAGCCAGGCCCCAGGGCTCTCCCTCCTGTCATGGAAGAGAGCCCTGAAAGACCTTTCACGGACAGGAAGGAACTCACTGCCCCTCTCATAATGCTCTGCAAAGCTTCTGGAGCCTCTCCATTTGGCTGGGCTCACAGACACTGCTCTTCTGTCCTGCATCTGGCAGAGGGCCCCATCGGACGTCAAGGATAGTGGCCACTCCCTGCCGCCCTCCTCCTGCCTGCCCTCTGCCTCCACACAGACCAAACCCACAGTGATGCAGCCTTGTTCCATGTGAGCAGCAACTCTTTCCACCCACCCTCTTCTTTCAAGCTGGCTTCCTCTTTCACTGACTATGAATAGGTGCCAGACCCTGTGCAGGATGCTCTGGGGACTCAAAGATGAGTAAGACATGGTGTCTGCCCTCACGAAGAGCATGCAGGATTGTGCTTGGGTCATGACCAGCCCTGTATCCTAGCTCTCTCCCCAAGGGAACAGTTTTTCTATACTTTCCAGGAAGCCATAGCTTTTCCAAAGGGGACAAAGCCCACTGTGTCTAACGCACAGAGAACCAAGTATGGACTTTCAGGTTAAAGATACCAAGAAACATTTAAACAATATGGTACTTAAGTGAACTCGCTTCTTATCGGGCAGTAATAACATCCCATACTAAAATCACGGTCCCCAGAGAAACAGCTGATACCATATTCTGAGAAGCAAGTTCAAGTGTGCTTCAGGGACTGGAATTGAGGGAGCACAGAACCTCCTGCACACTCAGGAATCAGCCCACTAGCATTTCTGAATTCAAAGAGGAATGGAAAATGCTGCTCCCACAAAACTGACCCCTTTTTGTCTCTGATATTTAAAAGTCATTAATTAGGTGACAAGCCTAGCCTAATTTGATAGTTGGGAGTACTCTGTCACTTAAATTACCATAATAAATTCCACTGTCACTTAATAGGTCTTGGATTGCAAGATGGAGCTATTTCCCAAAGTGTGGACCAATGGGGATCTGTCCCAGTCCACTTGGGGACCTCGTCAGACATGTAGATTCCTGGGCACCTCTCCGATGCACCAAAACCGACTGGGGGCTGGCCTGGAATCTGCATTTAAATATCGTAAATCAAGGGCTCAGGTGATTTTTACACAACCCAAGGTTCTTTATTTCTCCTAGGCAGTTTGGCCTTGTGATCCAAACAGACTGTTTTCCAGGAGGTATCATGAATGCATGACTAGTAGTAACACGTTTTCCCCTCAACTGCTTTCCATAAAAGTATAACTTCCCATTCACCAGATGGGCTTAATTAGTACTAATAATTTTAATTAGAATTAAAATGTTATACAAAATTTTGAAGCTAGATGATGTGTACATGAAAGTTCATATTTTTTGTACATTTGAACATTTCCATAAGTTTTTAAAACTGTCTTTCGAATTGAAGAAAAATATTTTTTAAACGCCAACACCTGTAGCAGATTATGTTTACCCATCAAGTCCGTAATCTAATCCCGTTTTTCTTCCTGCTAAAGTGAATACTGTAAAATCTGTTCTTGATTCAAAGGTTCTCTTTGGGCATCAACGTCAAGTTGATTGTAGGGCTCAGACGAAGTTAAGAAGCCCGGTGGGTGAGTCTTCTCAGCTTTTACTGTTAGGAACTGCCTTCTGCTGTCTCGATCTCCTGGTGCTGAGAAAACCTCTTACTCCTAATTACCTCTCTGAATTACCATTAATTTTTCAAGAGGGAGAGAGAGAAAGTCATAGTGAGATGCTTCTGGTTGGTCTCAAAAGCCTACGGAAAACACAACTGCTCCAGACGGAGATTACCAGATCAAAAAACCTGTATTGATTTTAAATCCCTGTAAGTTCACCTGCTTAAAATTTCAGCATGACCTCTGAAAACACTATTTTTCTTTTATTAAGCACTAAAATGTGAAATTATTAATTAAAAAACAAATACCTCCCCCCAAAAGGGGCAAGATTTTAAAACAGATATAGTGTTTTCCCACAGGCAGAAAGGAGGAAGCGACAGAGCAGATCTTTCCCTGAGAGCAGTTCTTACAGGAGAGGCTGAGTGAACCTGAAGGAGGGAGGGGAGCAGCCAGCTGGGGAGCTGGCAGCTCCCTCACACCCCACCCTCGCCGGCCTGCCTACCTGCTCTCTTTCCTCCACTGCCATATGGGGAACCAGCAAAGGCAATCTAGAAACGCCAGTCTGATGAAGCCAGCATGGTCACAGTGCTAGGAGCCCAGGGAGACGGTACTCGTGGTCTCAGGCCTGGCCTCTCAGAGTGCTTCTACCTACATTAGAGCATCGTTCATTAATTAACTATCCATTTTTTATATTAAAAATCATATGGGGGGCCAGCCTGGTGGCGTAGTGGTTAAGTTCATGCACTCTGCTTCAGTGGCCCAGGGTTCACAGGTTTGGATCCTTGGTGCAGACCTAGCACCACTTATCAAGCCATGTAGTAGTGTCCCACATAAAATAGAGGAAGACTGGCACAGATGTTAGCTCAGAGCCGACCATCCTCACACACACACACAAATAATAAATCAATAAATCATACAGGATGCCATTGAGCTCTCACCAACAGCAGTAACCTTCCTATTAACTCCGGTGGGTTTTCATGGTGGCAACAGGGGAGGTGATACATTGTCTACAGAAATTTTGCTGTCAAACTCACTTACAAAAACAGTTCAGATATTACTGTTTTAGAAATTCCTAGAAAAATAATCTGGATATGTTTAAGCCACAGGGGGGAAAAATGATTTCCCCCAAATCTTAAAATAAAAACAGTGATTTAAATAAAAAGTGAAATCTGGAAATGTTGATCAACTTACAACTGAATAAACAAAATGATGCATACAATGGAATATTATGCAGCCATAAAAACGAATGAAGTACTATTACATGCTACAAGATGGATGAAGCTTGAAAGCATACTAAGTAAAAGAGCTAGATATAAAAGGCCACAGACTGTATGATTCCATTTACATGAAATGTACAGAACAGGCAAATCCATATAGGGCGGGGGAACTGGGATTGACTGCTAACAGGTAAGGGTTTCTTTTTGGGAAAATAGAGAAGTTCTGGAATTAGATAGTGGTGATAGTTGTACAACATAGTGAATATACTATGTCACTAAATTGTACACTTCTAAATGGTGAATTTAACATGAATTATATCTCAACTAAAAAATACATTAAAAGCATATTCAGAGAAAAAAATAAGAAATTTTGGCAGGGGAGGAGGTGAAGTGAGGAATAAAACATACACAATTATAATACATTTCCTGTGTCTTTTATTGCTCTAAAGTTGGTATGTTAATTCTGAAATATAGGTAAATACATATCATATATAATGATTCCTAAAATGGTCATACTTGATATACTGAATAAAAAAATACAATTTAGATCATAAATGATTACATAATAATAAAGTTAAATTTTAAATAATTTTTATTTGTGTTGCAAATAAAGCTGCAAGCTGTTCAACTTTAATGATTCTAATAACTCTTAGTTTTATCAGTTTATAAAGAGTAGGCAACACAACTGAGAAGAAACCATAACAATTACAGTAGAACAAAAAGCTGTTTTCTCAACTGAGCAATCTTCTTATTAGCAAGCATATCGAGAAGGTGT